CTTTCCGCCGTCGCCATCTCTGGGTGAGCCGTCTTTCGAGGCGAAGCACACGGCTGTGTGTGAGAGCGGTCGGCTGAGACGAGCTTCATCACACACTGGTCTGGTGACCCTGAAGAGCTGAACATGAGAACGGGAGAAACCTGCAGAGAAGACGCCAACACTCAGTTACACTTGATGAGAGAGTCAACCACATCGTGTGCTTTAACTCTATTGTAGAGTACGCCAACATTTAAAAGTATATTTGCTTTTTTACAGATAATATAATAATATGAAATGAAAGGTCACTTAAGTGTACTGAAGAGAGTTCTTTCATGACTGTGTCTTCATATGGCAAGCCGTTTTAGCCTTACTCGTCATAATTCTATTTTTACTAGTATGAATTAAATTAGAGACTGACTTCCATTACTTTTACCAGTAATAATTCAATTAGAGAGCTTTACAATTTAATTCCTACTGGAAGCAATAGCAATTAGAGAGCTCTGTAATTGAATTAAATTACATTCTTACTAGTAGCAATTCATTTAGAGAGCTCTCTAATGCAATTGTTACTAGTACAATTAATATTAATGAGCTCTCTAATTCAATTGTTATCAGTAAGAATTAATATTAATGAGCTCTCTAATTCAATTGTTATCAGTAAGAATTAATATTAATGAGCTCTCTAATTCAACTGTTACTAGTAAAATTAATATTAATCTCTCAATTCTTACTTCAATTCTTCAATTCTTACTAGTAAGAATTAATATTAATGAGGTCTCTAATTCAATTGTTATCAGTAAGAATTAATATTAATGAGCTCTCTAATTCAACTGTTACCAGTAAGAATTAATATTAATGAGCTCTCTAATTCAACTGTTACTAGTAAAATTAATATTAATAACCTCTCAATTCTTACTTCAATTCTTACTAGTAAAAATTAATATTAATGAGGTCTCCAATTCAATTGTTATCAGTAAGAATTTATATTAATGAGCTCTCTAATTCAACTGTTACCAGTAAGAATTAATATTAATGAGCTCTCTAATTCAATTCTTACTAGTAAAATCAATATTAATGAGCTCTCTAATGCAATTGTTACTAGTAAGAATGCAATTACAGAGCTCTGCAATTATTCATATCTTTAATTCGTTTTTTTACTAGTAAAAATTAAATTAGAGAGCTCTGCAATTGCATTCTTACTAGTAAAAACTGAATTTTAGAGCTCTCTAATTATAATTGGATTAGAGTATGGCAAGCCATTTTAGCTTAAATTGTATCCAACCTTACTCGTCATTATTGCATTTTTACCAGTAAGAATTCAATTAGAGAGCTTTACAATTTAATTCCTATTAGTAGCAATTACAATTATAGAGCTCTTTAATTAAATTCGTACTAATAACAATCATGATTAGAGAGCTCTCTAATTCGATTTTTACTAGTAAGAATTGAATTGTAGAGCTCTCTAAATCAGTTTTTACTAGTAAGAATTACATTAAGAGAGCTCTTTAATGCAATTATTACAAGTAAAAACTGATTTAGAGAGCTCTACAATTCAATTCTTACTAGTAAAAATTGAATTGTAGAGCTCTCTAATTGAATTGTTACTAGTAAAAATGCAATTACGACGAGCAAGACTGGGTACAATTTAAGCTAAAACGGCTTGCCATATTAGAGAACTCTCTAATCGTAATTCTTACTAGTAATAATTGAATTAGAGAGCTCTGTAATGAAAAATGAATGGAAGTCAATGGAGACATTAATTAATTTGTAGAGCTCTCTAATTCCAATTGTTACAAGTAAGAATTGAATTGTAGAGCTCTCTAATTAAATTGTTACTAGTAAAAATGCAATTACAATGAGTAAGGCTTAAAATGAGTAATTACAATGAGTAAGGCTTGGTACAATTTAAGCTAAATGGCTTGCCATAAAAACGGCTTGCCATACTGTAATTGTTACTAGTCATAATTATATTAGAGAGCTCTGTAATGAAAAATGAATGGAAGTCAATGGAGACATATGACTAGTAAAAATTCATTTGTAGAGCTCTCTAATTGTATTTTTACTAGTAAGAATTGAGTTAGAGAGCTCTATAATTGTAATTGCTACTAGTACAAATTAAATTACAAGAAGAAAGGCTGGGTACAATTTAAGCTAAAACGGCTTGCCATATCTTAACACACTTTGCACTTTGTAAACTCAAATGAATCGTTTTACTTTAAAATTAATTTTAAATCAAGGTTACGGTCCTTTAACCATATTTTAGAGAAAATAACAGTAATTATGAATATATATATATATATATATATATATTTATAAAGATATTTAAATCTAAAGTGGGTCAAAAACAGCTATAGATTTGAACTATAATGCATTTTCATTTAATTGTAAGTGTCCAAAGATTTATTTTTACATTTAGTTCACGCACTGCATGTTATTTCCAAAACAAATACTCTTTTTTTGAAGTATGCTAAAGTGTACTTCGTATTACAATGTTGTTTAAACCAGTCTAAAAATAGGTGTACTTGTATGTTATTGATGTCACAACCATCATCTCAGACACAGGTCATAAAAACATAACTATCGTGAAAACAACAAATAAAAAATCAATAGAATTAGACCCTATTAAATGTTAGGACGTGATAATGCTCAAAAATACTGTGAACTGAATGATGGAGCGCAGTAATGCCCCAAAATACCATGATATACATATACTCACTCCTTTAATCATATATTAAGCTGTCGATTTTATGTTAGGTATGTTTTATGTTTTAGGTAGGCAGCTCACTAGGTTTTGACTAGGTTTTTAAAGTGAGATTAAAGACGTTTTTAATTTTTATTTTTCCCTGTGTACAGCACTTAGGTCAACGGAAGTTGTGTTTATCTGTGCTCTATAAATAAATTGAAATTAAAATTGAAAATTGACAATATATGTCAAGTAAACACATGATGTCCCCAAAACATTTGTATTTGCTCATTTTACTTTGTATGCAGGGTTGTTGTTGTTGTTAGTAAACACCCTGGTTGTCAATAAGAAAAAGAAAAATACTGGTAGTTGGGCTTCAGGGCCACAGATAAATGTACTTTAACAGTTTTGTGTGTGTGTGTGTGTGTGTGTGTGTATGGTTAACTCACCTTTATGAACTGACTTTAAAATCACCCTCGCTGCAGGTCGGCATGAACAGGACATATTTAAAAGCAGATCTGGTGAGAAAAATAATAAGAGTCCAAATTAAATAACGTTACACACATAGGTTACAATACTTATAAACGGCCAGAAATAAAGTAGTGACAAAGTGCTGTCAGATATAATCATCCATCATTACAAGGCCTGAAACTACACGACGTGTCATATATTGTATGAAATGTAAAGTTTCCACCAACAGGTATCGCGTTTTAAGAGTTGCAGTGCTCGACTACACACGCACGCGCTAACGTTACTGGGAATGACGGCAGACATACTTACTGGATCTCACTGTCCGAGTTTCCTCCAAACACGATTTCTCCTCCACTACGCGAGTCTGACACTAGGATCTGAGCAGAAGAAAAGGTTTAAGAGGTTTCATGCCAATGTCGGTGTCTGCGGGACTCATAAAAGATGTTAGCTGAAGTTTGGTGTAGATCAGTATGATATAACCATAACCTCTGCTGTCATGAAGTGTGTCAGCGTTACGTACATAGCCAGCTAGAGGTCTGTTTGTGTCACGTGATCGTGAAGGGGCGGGGCTGTTTCCTGTGAGGCGTAGCGTTCATAAGCTTCCTCCAGGGGGCGCTGGAGAAACACCAATCCTCCTTTGAGACGCATTCAAATATTTATTTAAAAATCACCAATATTTTCACGTTTTAAAATAGTGTAAATAGCTTTTAAGGGATTTTATTTATTTAATAAACAAATGGGAATCCACTCTCTCTGTGAAGTTTTTTTTTTTTTAAATGTAACGTTAATCGCAAACAATCAGCGATGAGAAAAGTAATTGGAACCACGTGACAGCGCAGTTACTTGTATTGAATTATTATACATGGATATAATTCAATATTTCTTACAAGGTAAAAAGAACAGGAGTCACCATAAAAAATGACAAAACTTTATTAAAACATATTTGGCATGCAATATACAAACATAAATCACTGATAACATCGAAAATAACAGGTATTTTTTGTAACAAAAATATGATCTTAATCTATGGCTTATTTTCCAGTTACATTTTGTAGTGCTTAACTTTATAAAGTTATTAAACTAAAAAAAATGCTGTCATTAAAAATAACGTGAATGTAATAAAAAGAAAGTGTAGTGTAACTATAGCTTATAGTGGATTGAATTCCATCATAGGCCTAATTTAATTTTGAAACAGTTCGCACGTGCACGATAAAACATTATCTGAAGATTAAACAATTACTTAATGACAAATTCAGAAATTATTCGAGTAAAATTATTGAAATTGATTTTTCTTTTTGAAAATTAATATGGGATTTTCTTATTTCCAATTTTACAATCTTAACCCACTGATGCTGTTCATGTTTTTATGCACCTTTATGGTTGTAAATCATATTTATGCAGTAGTTATAATCCATTTATTAACTGTTAACCATTTTTCAACCCGAGCATCAACCTGAAAATTAAAATCTAAAAAGTTTTAACACCCTTTTCAAATTTGTACTTATTTTTTTTAAGTTTATTGTTGTGAAAAAGACAATGTAAATAATATATATATATATATATATATATTTCGAATATATATTTTCCACAACATTTTTTACTTAAATAAATAAATAAATCTAAACAGGTTGTGCTCCAAATCTGTGTTTGAGATCTCAGAGAATGAGCTTTCAGTGAGATTGTGTTGGACGCAGCACCAAAATGCTTCAACTAGCACATAGCAAGTGCTGAAATTCATTTCCCATTCATTTCAAATGCGCTTTAAATCTTTTTAAGTGTGTGTGTGTTCACATAGCAAGTGCTGAACAGGTAAAATTTCTAAAAAAAAAAAAAATTGTTCGGTCAAAAATGGCTGAAGAGCACCATAGTGTTACTAGTATTAAGTCCATTGTTTTTTTTCTAATAGCAATGATGTGTGTTTTCACTGAATACCATAGTTACAACAATGATTTTGCGTAAGGGGTACTAGAGATTGTTTTGCTAAAGTATGGCCGTCTACTCTGTTCGTCTGGCTCGTGAACAAATAAATACTATAAAAAGATAAAGCTAACTGAAGTGTTTGCCATTTTTCATTCAAATAAATCCATGCACAGCTACATATGAGAGGAGTGTTTCCCTTGACTGCAAAAAATAACCTTTCATGCTAAATGCATTTTTACACACGGGTCCCTTTTCATAAAAGCAAAGGAGCAAACACATTTCATTCGTGGAGGTTTCAATTGAATTTTTCGTAAGGACAAACATTTCCTCACACTAGTACGTTTTTCGGAAAATGCGCCGTGTTGACCAGCAGAAATCTGCTTACTTCTGCGCGATGGTTTTGCAAAAATCCTAAACAGTGACGCGTCTCAGCTGATGCGCAGACAGAGAGTGTGTTCAGCTGTGGAGTGTTTCTCTCATTTTGCTGGTGATTTTGTCCCGCAGCTCACAGTGTCGGGTCAGATCTCGGACCTCAAGAGGAAGTGAACTGCTCCACACCGTCAGCACTGAATCCTCAGCTGAGACGTCACAAACACACGGAGCAGGTTAGAAACATACATCATGTGATCACACGAAATAACATCAAGTCACCTCGGATTTATAAGGTACTATCTTTCTTGACTTTTTGTCAAAATTGAGTTTTTCAAGTATAACTCATATATGCATGATGGGATTTTTTCTTGAATTTGAATTTTCTTTTTATTTATTTCAACAAACCGTGAAGCTCAGAGTCACAAAACTGCTCAGAATGCAGATGTGGGCTCTGTTTAAATGATCTAAGCTCTAAAGCACACAGCACACGTGCACTGAGGGCGTCCGAATCCACTTTTGCTAGTTAAACGACGGGAAAAATGGTCGGTGCTCCCAGCGCATGCTCTAAAAGGGTCGTCCCTATTCTCTTAAGGCGAGACAGGGAAGGCATTGGTCAAGTTTGAGATTTTGGGATATTTGTCTTCAATAACGTCAGACTTGTGGTGAAAAAAAGTCAGAAATACACATTTAGGTCTTTATTTTACTACACTTGTCTGTTTGCGTCTGTAGAAATCGATAAATCGATAAATCGCGATCTGCACCGTCATCACATACAGTTAATGCAGGCATACACTGTGCGATTTTCGTCCGAATTCTGACTCGTGCGACTCATTTTCGTGTCGGACCGATTTTCGGCTTTGTCGTGCGTCGTTTGTCGTGCAGTGTTCGTGCAGTGTACAGGGAGAAACGAGAGGCGATTAACCTCTCACGATCGACAATCGGATGAATTTCTGGCATGTCAGAAATTTTGGTCGCTCCTCGTGACTATATCGCACAGTTGAAGCAAAGCTACGAACCGATTGCCCTAAACTCAGTGTTTTTTCCCTCACTGCACCTGCGCGAAAACAGAAGTTTAACCATTTCATCTGCAGCAAAAATACAATTAAAATAAAAACGAGCTACAAATTACTGTTGCTTACCTCCAGTTCGTGTTGCAAAATGGATAATATTACCCACCGTCTTCAAGCCACCTGATATGTAACACCTCTTTTATTATTTTGTCAAACAATGTTTTTGAAATAAACCTGTTTTTAATTTTCATTGATGATTAATAATGGCAATGTTCGGACATATTATAGACTGTTAATAGTTATTTTATATATAATTCATTGTAATCGACCTAAATGTTTTAGACAATTTTTAATGAGGAGTAAGAATAATATTTTATTATCCTCACAGCACGTTAGTTATGTGCGGTGAAAATATTGCGTGGCAAATTAATTATAATAGCGGATCAATTTAATAGTAAAATTAGCCTATAGGCCTCCCCTAATAATGATAATATAATAATTAAATGCATAAATTGAAAATACTAAATCATCTTGATACTGATAGCAGATGCTTGTTTTGACAATATCTCTGGATACATACACGTAAATAGGCGCAATCCAGGGGGTTATCGCAGATATTACACGTATAGTGTGAGCAGTGAAGTCGCAGCTCGACGATCGGACCGTACAGTGTGAGCACATAAATCCTGAACTTTGGCTTTGCATCGCATGCGATTTACTCGTTCAGTGTGAGTAGGTACCTTGCTGAAATCGCACAGACATCGCACAGTGTATGCCCGCCTTTAGAAAGCTCTTTTTCTCCAGTACAACACTGTCAGATCCAAATATGGTCATTTCCTTTTTTTAACTCTAACTCTAAATGCGCGATCTCATTGGCTGATGCTAAATCTTTAAAGCCAGTTTTCTCAAAATGACTTTTTTCTCATACTCCAAGTCCGAAATCTCCACTTCAGTAGCACCTATACACACCTAACTTTCCAGTCTTGTACCTAGTTATATTATGAAGACATTTACAGAGGGATTTGTAAATAAATGATTCCTAGCCCGATTTATATAACTTTTTATTCCAAAAAACAGGGCGAAAATCTTTTTTTAAGGCAATTGGCAGTATATTCTGGTTTACAGGATAACAAAGTAGACATTTTTTTTCTCATTTAATATGTGAACCCAATGAAAAAATCATTTTGAACCTGGCTGTATCCAATATTTTTTAAATATATTCAAATTAGTGCATATTTAATTAGATAATGCCTCATTTGCATATCTAAACATTAAATTACAGAAAACTTGTAATATTTTTTTTTTTTTCTCATCTTAATCTATGTACTGGTAAAGTTTCATGGTGATATCTGCTAGTTAAAAAAATTACCCTATTCACCTGTAATGTCTCGCCTTAATGAGTAATGTGTGTGTTTTGGGCGTAATGTGCAATAAACCAACCATTCCCTTTAAATGCCAGTTGCGCTCGCGTCATGGCGGATTCGCTATTTACATGGTGGGATTTGAAACTGAACGCTTCTCTAGTGAGGTTAAAGCTCACGCAGACATCTGTGGGACAGAGTGTATGAGCGTTGTGGACCTGCTTATAGACGAATCCGGCGAAACTACCGGAAGTAAGCGGGCGCCATTACTGAGCTGTTGCTGGGTAGCGTTGCGCCATTGCCTCCTATTGTTTTAGTTGCAACTTGCGTCCACTGGAATAAACAGCCCGCAATTTACGACTGTCACTAACGTTACAACGTTACCCCTTGTATAATGTCGAGTGGGTAAACAGTTTCCGTTATAAATTGTTTTAATGGTGGCAGTAAAATTCAAATTTTGAAGAGAAAACATTGTGAATACCCCGGGTCGACTGCCCCTGTCTGGTGCCGTACGGTTTACAGATTTCCTGGGCGAGTACAAGACGCGGACATTCGCGTATATTAACAATTATTTAATGACATGAGTAAAAAAAATATAATAAATATGTGATGTAGTGATCAGCAAAATCTCCTCTCTTGCTATTTTTTCTATTCAATTAACATGCTATGGTCATTAAATGGCTTTCCTGAGCTAAATGTAAAGTTATGTGACATAATTGTTTTCCTGCTGTTATATTGACCTCTTTCCATGGTTTAAAAACACTAATTGGTCGATATTATGTATACTTTCTAGCTGTAACGTTACCCTACCCTTGCCTGTTGCAATGTGAAAATGAGATAAATAATGGACACAAATGAAAAACATGAATTTGTTTATTTGATTTCATTCATTTATTTATTTATTGTTGCCAAATGGACAGATCTTTTTGTAGTTTCCTCGTTAGCAAACGTTAGCCTAGCTAGCTTGCCAAGCTATTTTCATAAATAACGTTAATCTGTAAGATCGTTTGTACCTTCATCTGTGACTGGAGGCCACTGCAGTCACAGATCAAACCAACAAGTCATTCTGCCTGGCTGTAGCTGTCATCGAGGGTGAGTTCGCGTTATCACCGAGGTTTGTTTACATACCGGTGCATATGTCTATATGCCTGTGTAACAGCTCAGTAATGGCGTCGCCACAAGATGGCAGCCTAGACAGAACGCTCGTCGGATTCGTCTATAGGCACATATTACTAACGCGCTCTTTAAATAACAAAAAATAAAAATGACCTTTGACCTTAGACCAGGCTTCAGTTGGTCAAAGACTCCTCGAAATAGCAGCGTGCCATCAAAGCGCCTGAACGCACCTCGTTTCAGACCAGCACACTCATTAGCGAACACGTGGGCGCAAATGCATTTGCTATTTATGCAACGTGGCGCAGGACGTGAAAATGAAACTGCGTCAGGCTGAAACTAGCCAAAAACACTTCGCTGGCGCTGTATCACACTGGATATATGATAGCGCCCTATAATTCCAAGGTGGCGAAATGTCTTTTTTCTTTTAAGATAAAAATAACTTGATGTAACTTCAGCGCTAGTGTTTTCGCCACACAATTTGATATTGAAATTATAAGTGAAAACGTCCGATTTTTTTTTTCAATAATTGTATTCCTCAATGAAAATTAAAGGGATAGTTCACTTTGAAATTAATTTTTGATATGTTTGTCTTTGATATGGTGTCTTTGTTTCCACACTATTTTCAATTTTGATATTTTTAGGTCAAACCGTTCTTGTGTGTCAGCATAATGGAGGTCTATGGTCACCACCTCAAAGAGCATGCACAGAGAAGTCCAGATTAGACATGATTTAATGACTTGTAAATGTAAGTACACATTGATGGCCTAAGACACGAAACGAGCGGTTTGTGTGAGAAAACGAACAGTATTTATATCGTTTTTACCTCTTGTAACCACAGCCACGTCCAAGTGATCTGAGGGCATGGGCGCTTCGGTCTGTGCGAGCGGCGGGAGTGATCTCTCGAACAGTTGCGAAAAAAAATCAACGTTGTCTGTTGATATATCGAAATCGTCTTCCATTGCGCTTTCCTGTATATCTAAATATATTTAGATCTTCACAGTGAAGGAAATCTCTGTGTAAACAATGAGTGGCGTACACGCCCGCGCCCTCAGATCACTTGGACGTGGCTGTGATTACAAGAGGTAAAAACGATATAAATTGTCTTAGGCCATCAATGTGTACTTACATTTACAAGTCATTAAATCATGTTTAATTTGGACTTCTCTGTGCATGCTCTTTGAGGTGGTGACCATAGACCTCCATTATGCTGACACACAAGAACGGTTTGACCTAAAAATATCAAAATTGAAAATACTGTGGAAACAAAGACACCTACATCTTGGATGCCCTTGAGGTAAGATAAAACATACCAAAAATTAATTTTAAGGTGAACTATCCCTTTAAATAATAATTAATAAAATAACTATTCAATAACTCCTTCAATTTCCATACTTGAAATGTTCTTACCTAATTGTGTTTTGATTTGGTCTTGTGGCATGCGTTGCCGTCTACCCAATACTAGAACAACATTCTTTCGGTTTAGGATGTCTGCACAAGAACATAAAGTACATATGACATTAATCCTGAGTTAAAACAATTGATGCTTAATTTAAAACCCACTAAAGCCCTTTAAACGGTATATCAAACTGTATTACTTGTGAAAAAGAAGTACACTTTAGCATATTTTAAAAAGAGTACTCATTACAGACACACATCCTTTAAAAGAATGTACTTAAGTGTGAAATGAATGCAATGTTTTCTGACACTTAATTGCAATTAAATTCAAATTTATTATAGTTTAAATGTATATTAAGTGCTTTATTAAGTTAAGTGTTACGTTTTTTAGTGTGCTTTATTGAGCAACATCAGCAGGACTTGTGTATTTTTATGTAATTTTTTACTGTTTTTGAAAGTGGACTCTCTTTTAAGTACACTTAAGTGGCCTTTCATGTAATCTGAAAGTTAAATTAGGGCTGTCAAACGATTAATCGCGATTAATCGCATCCAAAATAAAAGTTTGTGTTTACATAACATATGTGGGTGCACTGTGTATAATTATTTTATATCCATCTAAATACACACACTTGATTTTATATATTTAAGAAATATTTTCATGTATATACTGTATATAGATTTATATATAATTAATATTAAATATAAATGTTAATATTTTATGTATAAATACTATTTTTTTTTAAATATACATGCATGTGTGTGTGTGTATATATATATATATATATATATATATATGTATACACAGTATACAAAATAATTATACACAGTGCACCCACATATATTATGTAAACACAAACTTTTATTTTGGTTGTGATTAATCGTGATTAATCGTTTGACAGCCCTATTATAAATATATATTTAGAATAATACACTGTTAAAAAAAAAGAATAATAATACAAAAGATTTGAAGTACATCACAAGTGCACTACTTTTTCACAAGGGACACCAAATTCTTTACCAACAAGTGACACTTTCTAAGTAACTGGAGAGACAGGAACAGGAAGTGTACCTAGCATCACGGAGCCCATGCAGCGTATGGAGTCGCAGCGAGGGCTGAAGGTCTGCAGGAGCTGACAGCTGGACACTTCCACCAACAGCATGCGTCCGCTTTTAGTCCCAATCCACAGAGTACCACTGTGCTGGACCAACAGAGCTTTCACGATCGCCAAACATGGCACCTCGTGTCCAGACTGGTCCTCATCCTGGGCTTTGGGCTTTTTGGTGGAACTTAATCTGTGGTGGGCGTATAAATCGTACATTAGGAAGTTAGTTAAACCTACTTTTAACATCTGCCTCAGGTGATCTGTTCACAACCGTGTTACAAAAGTACAAAAAGTTAGGAAAGTGATGCGTCAAAACTAGGGCAACGATTAATCGCAATTAATCCAAAATAAACGTTTGTGTTTACATAATATATGTGTGTGCAGTGTGTATGATTGTTTTGTATATAAAAAAATACACATACATGCTTATATGCAGAATATTTAAGAAATATTTTCATGTCCAAAACGCTATAAATCCATTTCAATAGTTTTCAGGAAAACTACATTTTTTTATCTAGACCCACACATTTTGTGAATATTCAAATTATCCTGTTTAAATGTTTTATTGGTTCAGTCTGAACATTTTGAACAATAATTATTAAATCAAACAACAATATTGTTAATGATAATTTAAAAGTTAATTTTATTTTTTTCCAAAACACTATAAATCCATCCATTTTTTTGTATCATTTTTAGTAAAGTCATTTTTAGTAAAGTGTCAAACCTCAAACAAATAGTACAAATTTCAACATATGCATGAAAAAAACGAATTATTAAAAATGATCAATTTATGATAACGATATTCAAAAAAGGGATGGGCACCCCTCCAGCACATGCACACACACACAGGCTACATAACATGTGAGCAAAGCGGAGCAGCATGACGCCTAAATATAAGTAAAAAAAAAAACAAAAAACAAAATAAACATAGGCTACGTTTCACATTTGTGTTTAATAATATTACATTATTTATTTTTATTATTTCATCTATGTTGAGTAGGCTATGAAAAGGGAACCGCATGAGATGAGTAAGATAGGATCAAAATTCAAAAGCTGCCCAATATCGGAAAATATTTGGAGTGCGTCAGACATGACTTTGACCACTTATTAAGTTTTGTTTTGTAGAAAGCTTGTAAATTTCGTTTCATATAAATTGTATCTTCATTTTAATAAATGTTTCATCGACAAATTGACTGGATTAATACATTAGAAGTAAAGATCAGACAATATAATCAGGACACAGAGGCGCGCAGGTGAACCGGAGCGCGTCTCATACTGTATATGAACCGAAAAACCGCGACGCAGGCCTGAGAACTAAGCTACAGAAAGCTTTAAATGTCTACTTTTAAACAAAACAATTAAAAACTAAAATAAATTGGCAACTCTCTGCGTATGTAGGCTAATTCGAAGTATGCGTTTCTCTCTATAGGCCTATATGCGCGTTCACTGCGAAGATGGCGAGTAAGCATCAACTTTATCTTTGTTGCTGACACTGACAGAAAACACTAGTTTATTAATAAACAATTCAAATGTTTCATGCATAATCATTACTTTTGTCGGTTCTTTGTGGCAAGCTTTATGCATACGTTGAAATGCGGAATAGGCGATTAAAAACGCTCATATGGTTTCTCTCCCATTTAATTAAATCAATATATGTGATTACTGATAATACAAATGGCTTAAACGATCTACTACTAGTCGACTAGAAAACTAGGACTCATTTTGAGGAATGAATGAACATAATAAACCTCTGTTCAGAGTGCCGCCGTGCTGGATTGTGTGGAGCGCTCATTGAATTTGAGGATTTATCGTGTTTAGGCTAAAAACAGGGCTGGCGCTTATCGCGGCTTGGAAAGAAACTGTATCTTGCAGTACATTTTAAACAAGGAAATATAGCGATTTGGCATGAAACGTTGATGGAGCAGTGAAAGGGTTCTGTCCACAGCAGAATGACACGACAAACTCATTTTTTTTTAAAAATGGCGTTTATCGCGTTTTGGAAAAGAGCTCTTCATGTGTATACTGTATATACGTTTAAACATAATTTATATTAAAAATAAATATTGATATTTTATTTAACATTTTTCTTAAATATATGTGAATTTTTATAAACAAAATAATTATTAGGGATGGGCAACGATTAATCGCGATTAATCGCATCCAAAATAAAAGTTTGTGTTTCCATAATATATGTTTGTGTAGTTTGTATAATTAATTTGTATATATAAATACCCACACATGCATGTATATATTTAAGAAATATGTGCATGTATATATTTTATATATATTTATTCACAATTAAAATTATATATAAATATAAATATTTGATACATTAATAACACATTTTTCTTAAATATATACATGCATGTGTGGGTATTTATATATACATATTAATTATACACACTACACACACATATATTATGTAAACACAAACTTTTATTTTGGATGCAATTAATCGCCCTATTTTCATAGCTTACGTTTCATAGAAAATGTTTATTGTCCTTTTAGTCAAATAACAAATGAACTTCAGATGTGCTTCACATGATCAGTGTCAGTGCATTTGTATGCACTTGTATGACCATCAAATTTAGGAAAAATACATATACAAATTGTTTTGTATATGTGTTTTTTCCTAAATTTGATGGTCACTGGACAGTTCTTTTCTAAAACAGCAAACTTTAACCTCCTTGATTAAAAGCAATTGTTGATTGACAGGTTCACGTATGTCCAGGATCTACCAGCTTAAACAAGATTACACTACAAATCTCACTAGATTACACTGCAAATGCAATGTCACATGTGTTTCTGAATACCTCCGGATGTGGTGTGAGTGATCCAGTGTCATAGTGTCGGTTTATGTTCCCTGGTGTCCACTAAAGCTCCTCTTCCCCCACTTGGTTGACTACATTTCCCATGATCCTCTCTGTCACCGAGTGTTGATTGTGTTCAGCTGTTTCTTGTCACCTCGTTAAGCACTTGTGTGTGCATATATACCCTGTCAGTTCAGTGTTTGTCACGGAGTCCTTGTTTAATGTCGTGATTTTGCCTGTTTTGCGTTTGCAGATTGCACTTTTGTTGTTTTGAACCTTTGCCTGGACTGGATTGTGAGTACGGATTGTCCCAATAACTTTACCTGCACTTGGATCTCTCTCTCTCCCGTGTGTGTGATCGTGACATCCAGCCACAATACATTTTGGACACTACTTGGACCCTACTTGTATTGTAGTGCTAATGTCCTGTGATCCGATCTGGTTAAATGGATTATTAGCAGATGTAAAAGAAAGTCAAAAGTGTGCAAATGAGTTCACCCAAGTAGTTGCATGCAGTCGATGAGGTTCACCATCCTCCCAGTCTTCTTATCCCAGACCTCCACAGTGTGGCTTCCTGTTTTACTCACGAACACATGTTTGTCCACCGCTAACCGTGATATACACGCATCACGGCTGACTCGACCCAGCTGCCTAAACAAACAGATTAACATCTTTAAAAACTGAACAACATCACCAAGAAATTCCACGGGGGCGGTCGCTTAACTGACAAACACAGTTCTTTTTTATGCCACATTTAGGCAAATACAACTTTTCCATCCTAATTCTTACTAAACTTGTCTGCTGCTTTTAACATGCCGAATCAACAGAATCTCTGATCAACTGTCTCTGATCGTGACATCACAGGGACTACACTTTTCTTTCATAAGTCTTACCAAAATGGCAAATTCCCATCAGCTAACCACCCAGGAGTGCCTCAGGGCTCTGTGTTAGGTCCCTTACTATTCTCTTTATACTTAAAGGGGTCATGAACTGGCTTTTAAATTGTATTATATTGTTGTCTGAGGTCAACTTATGACGTTTGCTTGGTTTTTGCATTCAAAAACATCAAAATGAATAAGTAATAGGCTATTTTGTACCCAACTTTTGAGCCTAGCTGAAAAACGCTCAGTTTTTATTGGCGTCTCGCACTGAAGACTTGGAAGTAAATGCCCACTGCTGTGAGTGGAGAACAGTTTTGCATATTATAATGAGTTTCGACTCACCCGTCGGTGCACTTGGGGGAAATTGTTTTGAAAACGTCCAATGTTGTAAAATGGCGACCGGAATGGTTCGCCCATACATGTTCGACCCAGAGTCCGTTTGTTGCACAATTCCCGTCAGATCCAATATAGACGGCACAGCACGTTCTTTACTCTTAAAGTCCCAGTGAAATCAAAATTGAACCTATTTACTTTGTTAGCGCATATTACTAGTCTTGTGGAGAACAATTAATCTGTGCAAGTAAAAATATATTTAAAAAATGTTTTACCTTGGTAATCTTTAATCAAAATCTGAAAAGTTACTTCCGGTCTGGAACGGTTTCTTTTTCTGATGACGTAGGTTTCACAACTCGGGTGGGGAAACGCTTAACCACTCCCCTCAAACCGTTAGTTTGTTATGAGCGAGAGATGGAGAGGAGGAGCGCTGGAGTAAAACCCTGCCCTCTGTTCAATATTCCGTTTCACTTGAAAATACGTCACTGCACTGGAGAAAAATCGTTTGCAACTTCCGGTTCACGGGGACTTTAATCGGTCTGCAAATCCAGTCTTGTTTACAAAACAATCCTCAGTGAAATGAAGCGAACAGACGGACAATGTTTTACCTCATCAGCTGGAACATCATTAAAAATAAAGTTTATCCATGCAGTCATATTGGAATCCAGAGGAAGCTTCTTCCACAACAAGGCACTGCACAATATTCTGTATTACTCGATAACGCGATCCGGTTTGTCATCACGAGGTAGGCATCTGTTATTTAGCTATGCGTGTAATGCGCGAATCGTTGGGCGGGGCTAAACCGGCCGTGTTGAAGTAGGCGCTGATCTTCTTCTGCGGGGGTGGGGTTTTATCCTCTTTGACGTCATAGTTCCCCACTTTGAAAAACGAGTCGTTTGCTGAGGCTGGTGTCAATAAAAGCTTTTTATTGGACAAACAAGGACGTTTCCAGTTCTGAAACTTATAATATGATTAGGGTTGGGTATCGTTTGAATTTGAACGATTCTGATTCCGATTCCTTGTTTCGATTCCGGTTCCTAACGATTCTCGATTCCGATTCTTTTAAGAGGCAGGGTCAAAAAAGTTTAGCTAACCTTGCTAACCAACGGCCTTTCTGAAGGAAATACTTTTGTCACAAATTTTGCATTTTGCCGAGATTTCGTTATTTTTAGAAAAGTGAAGCCACACTTTGGATCGCCGACGTAAGCTACTCATGTTCGACTCGCGCGGTTATGCCAACACTTCCGGTAGACGCTTCTTCGTTGGTGTTGTTCAGCGGTTTCTTCTTCCGCTCGGCGGACTGTGAATATCGAAACTAGGAATCGAAATTTTTACTTTTGAACGATTCCGGGAAAAACGAAAAGTTAGTCTCGGTTCCAATCGATACTCGATTCTCGATACCCAACCATAAATATGATGACCTTTAAGATGTCAAAAGCTCAAGGAAAATTTGATTTCTCAGTTAATCACCCCTTTAATTTCAATGGGTCTAATTATAAAGGCCTATGGCTTTTCCTATCTGGGCATGAGGTAACCAGCTCTAACTGTCATTCCTACCTGTGGTAATATTGTGAACACATCACACCACAATATTAGCACATTATCCATCCCGTGTCTTCACTGGACGCTACTAGTCTAGCACGACTAGTAAAAAGCAAATATACCCTATTATAATCAGTGATACTGTCTACACTGGATGCTGAGCGATACCTATTTATAGCATAATCCACGTGCATATGATACTTGTGACAACAGGACAACTGGATTTCTGAACAGGACACGGTGTCAGACTGCATGCCAGAACACTAAACACTAACGGAGCAAGAGTTACTTTGGTGCCAAGTACACTGTGTGGCTGGACAAAAAGTAAGTAGACACCATCTTCTTATTAACAGGTATTGCTATTTCAGTTACACATTACAAACAGATACTGTTGAAAACTCATTAGTCATATGTTTTTAGCACAATGGTGCATACCTTTTCTGTTACATGTTCCATCTAATGGAAATCTTTTCAATGAGTGGCAAATGGGAGCAAGAAAAAGGCACATATGAATTTTAGTGTACTGTATACAGTATATTTACCTTGAGCAGAAAAGGTCAGTTTACGAACCTAATGCTTATAGTGTTACATTGACAGGTGTAGTTGTGCTTGTCTTCAGAAGGGTTAGGGGTCTTACGGTAGGATCTGTTTGGGTTTGGTGTCGATGCTGCTATAGACGTTGTAATCCACCGTAAGGCAGATCACCTTGGTGCCGCAGGCTGCCCACAGCGTTTTGCGCTCCTGAGGGTGATTGGAGGGGCCGATACACATCAGAGGAGCGTTTACATCACCAACCTGGAGGGTCTTCACTGGACCTCCATTCTTTACCTACAGTCATAAAATATCATATATATCAGGGGTTTCTCAAACTCGTCAACACTGGATTTATTTGATTAAAAAAAAAATAAAAAAAAACAGTTGATTTTGATGTCACATTTAGGCAAATACAACTTTTCCATCCTAATTCTTACTAAACGTGTCTGCTGCTTTTAACATGCCGAATCAACAGAATCTCTGATCAACTGTCTCTGATCGTGACATCACAGGGACTACACTTTTCTTTCATAAGTCTTACCATAATGCCAAATTCCCATCAGCTAACCACCCAGGAGTGCCTCAGGGCTCTGTGTTAGGTCCCTTACTATTCTCATTGTACTTAATTTCACTGGGCCTAATTATAAAGACTAATGGTTTTTCCTATCTGGGCATGAGACCTCCATTCTTTACCTACAGTCATAAAACATCATATATATATATATATATATATATATATATATATATATATCAGGCGTCTGACAAAGTGCTGTTTAAGGCTTCCTCAAACAACAACAACAAAAAGCTACTTAATATAAAGTGGGACCAAAAAAAATATCATTTTTAAAAAAATATATAATTTATTCCGGTGATGGCAAACCTGAATTTTCAGCATTTCATCCATATATAGTGTATTTTGCAGTGTTGTAGTACTCGAGACTCGGACTCGTCTCGGACTCGGTCTCGAGACCATATTTTAATGGTCTTGGTCTTGTCATGGACTCGTGTGCATTTGGACTCGGAATTAACTCGTACTCGAACATTTTTTTTTTTTTAGGACTCGGAATTATTCCCAAGTCCACTCGAGTTCAATTCAAAATATTTTTCATGATTATTAATGTATGTTAATAAAATATTTCTTTAAATTGATTGACACGCCCAGTGATTGGTGATTTTCTAGTGCGCAACTGCGCATGACAAATTGTAATAAAATTACTTTTAACACCACCTACTGTGGCCTTTTTACCCTAAACTATAGATATACATATATATATATATATATATATATATATTAAACTCTAAGTAAATTCAGTAAAAAAAAAAAAAAAAAGGATTTCTCTAAGTAAATAAAAGTAAATTAGGTAATCAACCCTCACTGGTCTCGGTCTCGACTCGGACTCGACCGTCTCTGGTCTCGGACTCGACTCTCTATGGACTCGGTCTTGACTCGGACTCGACTCTCTCTGGTCTCGGTCTAGACTCGGACTCGAGTGAGGTGGTCTCGACTACAACACTGGTATTTTGTAGAAAACAATGTGGGGAAAACTAGAAATATTGTTTCTAGTTTCTAATATTGACGGAACGAGGACTCGTATGCCGTCAGCAATTGGAAAGAGAAGTTGAAAGAGTTTTGTTTGATTTGTTTGAGTCTTTTGTTTGGTTTATTTTTTGGAGTGTGTACAATAAAACGTAAAAGTCCCAGTCATCTTCCTCCCAAACACTGAACCTCATCACAGAAGTCTTTATTGTCACTTTCATTCATTTAATGAATCCTTGCAAAATACAATCATTCATTTCTTAAAAAAATAAATACTGACTCCAAACTTTTGAATGGTAATGTATGTAACAATTATATTACATAATTTACTATTGATTAAAGAAGGCATTCTCAGATGGTTATGTGTTATACTGTACATATTCATTGAATCATTTGAATAATTAATACCTTCAAGACTGAATCTTCATAAATGACTAGTGTCCCATTCGCTGTCCCGACCAAAAGGTAATTCTTTAAGCATCTGAAAAATTGAAACATCATTCTCTCACATTAAGGAACATCTTTTTTTAAAAAGTTATGTGACTTCTCACTCAGAAACTTGGATGTTATCACCTGTGCTGGTCAGTGTGAAAGAACAGTGACGTCACAGAGTCATTCACACTCTTCAGACAGTGCAGAACCTCTGCGTTCATGGTGTCCATAATGAAGAGCGAACCCGACTGTGTCCCAGCGACTAACCAGTCATCACATGACCCTGGAGCTCTGACGATCACCATGCAGAGGACAGGACTGCTGTCAATCTCCTAAAAGAGGGAGAACACTGTTAACTTGACTGGTAAATGGATTGACCACCCTTGTGTTCCCCCCTCATGTCTTTTAAAACCAGTATGACTTTCTTTTGAAAATAAGCTTTAAAGTATTTTATGTAACTCAACAGTTTCAGTTCCCATTGGCTTCCATTGTATGGGCAAAACATACCATACAAAAGACACAAAACAAAAATCTGTTTGGTTATCAACATTCTTCAAAATATCTTCTCTTGTGTTCTGCAGGAGAACGTCAGACTGGTTTGGAACGACATGAGGGTGAGTAAATGATGATAGGATTTATTTTTATATATATAAAAAAAGTTTATTTCTCAAGGATTGTGGGTGAACTTAAAGGAGAAGTTCACTTTAAAAAAAAAACTTTTGCTGATAATTTACTCACCCCCATGTCATCCAAGATGTCCATGTCTTTCCTTCTTCAGTCGAAAAGAAATTAAGGTTTTTGATGAAAACATTCCAGGATTTTCTCCATATAATGGACTTCAATGGGAACCAAACGGTTCAAGGTCCAAAAGAAAGTTTCAGTGCAAACTGTTCAAAGGGCTTTAAACGATTCCAGACGATGAATAAGGGTCTTATCAAGCGAAACGATCGCTCATTTAAAAAAAAAACAAAAAAAAACAAAGTTTAAGTTTTATAAGCTCAAATGCTCGCCTTGCTCTGTTCTGCGATGCACGTTCATGACTCTCCTGTTCGAACTCGTTCATCAAAATGAACAAATCTTTTTCCGAGTCATTTGGTTAATTCACGAATTGATTCGGAAAAGGATTTGTTCATTTTGATGAACGAGTTCGAACAGGAGAGTCACGAACGCGCATCACAGAACAGAGCAAGGCGAGCGTTTGATCTTATAAAACTTAAACTTTGATATTTGCGATTGTTTCGCTTGATAAGACCATTATTCATCGTCTGGAATCGTTTAAAGCCCTTTGAACAGTTTGCACTGAAACTGTCTTTTGGACCTTGAACCGTTTGGTTCCCATTGAAGTCCATTATATGGAGAAAATCCTGGAATGTTTTCATCAAAAACCTTAATTTCTTTTCGACTGAAGAAAGAAAGAAAGACGTGGGCATCTTGGATGACATGATGGGGGTGAGTAAATTATCAGCAAAAAGTTTTTTCAAAAGTGAACTACTGAAAATTAGGATGATAGAATCATATTTGTTTAGATAAAATAGTACTTAGCAAGAAAACTTAGTGTGTATTTACAGTATAATTCATGCCATTTGTTGGGTCAACAGTCTTTTAAAGCTCTTTAGTACCTGATTTAAGCTCTCCCCTGTCTCCAGATCCAGTGATGTCACACAGCCCATTTTCTGGCTACTACTGCCGCCCCCGATCCACACACGTGCAGTTTTCCCTCCGTCCGCACTGGACACGGTGAAACACTCGCCTGCCAAACTCATCAGAGTCAGCTCTCGCATCACACAGAGCATCTCTGCAGAATTCAGACGATCTAACACCTAAAACGTGCACAGAGACGCTGAATTACTCACACGTTTGCACTGAATTCACATTATAATGAGCAGAGAAGTGGTTCGTTTGACCTACTGACCTGAGTAGATGTTGGTCTGTCCTGAGGGTTTTCTCTCAAACATTCCCTCATCAAAAACTCAAACCCTGGCCACGGAGAACAGCCGTAATCTTTAACTGGATCTATATCAGTGATTATAGACGGTTATTAATATTATTGTATATTAATAATATTATATTACATTAGCCCACCCCTCAATCACAGGAAGTGCTTTGTTCTCCCTCATTCTGTGAATTGATCATTAATTCCTCAGGACTTTTAGGAGAAAATGTGGGTAAAATTACAAAACACTGTTTAAGGGGTGGTCAAAATCCCTTGCCTCTTCAGCACATATATCATAATATCCTTTTGAATGTTTATGTATTTCTTTTATAAAATCAATAATTAAGTATATTCATTGTTACTTAAAGGACAACTCCGGCGCAAAATGAACCTTTGGTCTAATTGCACATTGTTACCTATTCAACCGTTATCTGAGATTTTTTTTCATGATTGCCGAATCTAACTAGTTTTATCTATTAAAACAGTTTAGCCTATAATGCTAGTATAACGCTAGTCTAGGGCATAGAGTAATGACAAATAAAAATCGCTTTTTATTACCACTAACAAGGCTCAAAATAGCCCCACAGTAACACGGTAGCACAATAAGGATCCCTACATGCAAAACGAAGCATTGAGAACTTTGTCAGTGTCCATACAGTTTAATAAGAAGATATTTTATACACACAGTCAACTTCACGAATACAGGAAGAAGCCATCTTTAAAATATAGTCTCTACCAGTCGATCTACGAACGCTGATCCAAGTGCGCTGAACTGTGCAGAATCTTATATGGTCCATTGTTTCCGGAAGAAACACAAACACGAACCATTTTCTTCTCTTTAATATGTACATGTTGCCTACTGTTCGCGCTCACATTATCACTTTATTCACATCTCACCAGCGCGCTTGGATCGGCGTTCGTAGATCGACTGGTAGAGACTATTTTTCAAAGATGGCTTCTTCCTGTATTCGCAAAGTTGACTGTGTGTATAAAATATCTTCTTATTAAACGGTATGGACACTGAAAAAGTTCTCAATGCTTCGGTTTGAATGTATGGATCCTTATTGTGCTACCGTGTTACTGTGGGGCTATTTTGAGCCTTGTTAAAGGTAATAAAAAGCGATTTTTATTTGTCATTACTCTATGCCCTATAGACTAGCGTTATACTAGCATTATAGGCTAAACTGTTTTTATAGATAAAACTATTTACATTCGGCAATCATGAAAAAAAATCTCAGATAACGGTTGACTAGGTAACAATGTGTAATTAGACCAAAGGTTCATTTTGCGCCGGAGTTGTCCTTTATTGACATAAATTTATTCTTTGTGCTTTTGCTTGTGAAATCATATTCTTAAATGCATGCTGATGTAAGTCACCAGCTTTTTTTAGGTGCACAAGGCCATTTGTCTCTTTCTCTGGTCTCAGGAGAAATGTTTGTGGATCCTAAAGGCGTCGTGAACACATGTCCAACACATATGACACTTCTCTGTACCGATGGTCAAGCTATATTGAGCATTGCTTTATTGAACTTTAATTGTTTTATTAAAATGTATTTTTTTCTATTATATTTGCTTTCTGAGGAGCAAATGTTATCTGTTTTTCTCCCAAACGAGTGAATGTTTTACCATTATGTTTTGGTACACTTAACTGATAATAAGCCGCTCAGACTCTCTTTAGCCTTGATGGGAGCTCTTGATGGGAGCTCAGTAACAGTGAAAATAATAGGAAAATAGGGATTTGGTTTGTGTTTGAGTGTTAAAACATAAAGGGGTCATTGAATCCAACAGTTTAAGGCACTATTTCTTTGTTGAAGTCTTACTCCAGTTAGACTAAAGTTCAGTTCTAGTCTTCTTGGTTGCAGGTTAAGGAACCACTGCCATTATTGGAGATTGAATGAGTTGTTGTTCTGGACACACTGGCGCCAGCAACCCAAATCTGTGACCTGGAAGGTCATGACATGCTTCATCGATGGAGATATGTTTCGTCTATCTGTATATCTATGGAAAATTACTGTGTTTATCTATATCTTAGCCAATGAGAATCATTCAACGTGTAAGCAATGACGTAGCTTAGACCTTGGGAACAGTATAACTGCTGTGATCTTTATAACTGTAAGGGGGCGGCCTACGAACTGCTGAGTGAGTCTTGAAGCTGACTTCTGCTGATGAAATGGCAAACTATGTTCAGTAAACTTTCTTTCATTTTTTATAATTCTGACTCCGGGTCTTCATTCTTCATATCTGGTTCTGGGTCCTTAAAGGGTTAGTTCACCCAAAAATGAAAATTCTGTCAGTATTTACTCACCCTCATGTTGTTCCAACCCCGTAAGACCTTCGTTCATCTTCGGAACACAAATTAAGATATTTAAGATATTAAGATCGCTCCTGCATACAGTCCATAGGCTTCTTGAGGGACTGGCTCTTGCTGTCCTCGAAAAGTCATTAAAGACATCGTTAAAATAGTCCAAGTGACTACAGGGGCTCAATCTTAAGTTTATCAAACGACGAGAACACTTTTGTGCGCAAAAAAACAACAAAAATAACGACTTTATTTCAACTATTCGTTTATTTCTCCCTCTGCGCGAGTCAGGTTACTAGTTTAATAGCGTAAGCTTCTGTTATTGTACGTCACACGCATCACACACACATGACCAGCGTCGGCCAATAGTGAGCCTACGTGTGACGTAGCTCTACGCAATCACACTACGTTAACTGACTACAGGCCCATGGAGAAGGAAGTGAATAGTTGAAATAAAGTCGTTATTTTTGTTGTTTTTTTGCGCACAAAAGTATTCTCGTCGTTTGATAAACTTAAGATTGAGCCCCTGTAGTCACTTGGACTATTTAAACGATGTCTTTAATGACTTTTCGGGGACAGCAAGAGCCAGTACCTCAAGAAGCCTATGGACTGTATGCAGGAGCGATCTTAATATCTTAAATATCTTAATTTGTGTTCCGAAGATGAACGAAGGTCTTACGGGGTTGGAACAACATGAGGGTGAGTAAATACTGACAGAATTTTCATTTTTGGGTGAATTAACCCTTTAACTGTAAATCCCGAACACTGTTTACAACTGGTATTAAGATATATTTCGGTCGATCGGATCACAAGTAGACGAGGGAGACACATTCCCGTTTTAATCCGATTGATGGCCTAAGACACGAAACGAACGGTTTGTGTGAGAAAACGAACAGTATTTATATCGTTTTTACCTCGTGTAACCACAGCCACGTCCAAGTGATCTGAGGGCGCGGGCGAATACTGTTTGTTTTCTCACACAAACCGCTCGTTTCGTGTCTTAGGCCATCAGTGTGTACTTACATTTACGAGTCATTAAATCATGTTTAATCTGGACTTCTCTGTGCTGCTCTTTGAGGTGGTGACCATAGACCTCCATTATATATATAATAGACAAAAACGGTTTGACCTAAAAATATCAAAATTGAAAATACTGTGGAAACAAAGACACCTACATCTTGGATGCCCTTGAGGCAAGCTATCCCTTTAAAGACACTGTTCTTATGGTGAACTTTAAACTAAGCAAATAACCCTCACGCCAGAGGGGGCTATACTGTAGAAACCTTAAGCCTGGAACACAACAAACTAACGGTCGGCCATTGGGCAGTTTTTGTGTGTCGGCCGACTAAGTTTCCTCTGTGTGTTCCGCGCGGTTCCATGCCGTCGGCTGAAAATAGTTCTCGTCGGCTTTGTTTCGCCCGATTCGACATGTTGAATTGACATGTTGAGGACTCTGATTGGCTGTTCAGCTTAGTGAAAGCACGAGAATAAACGCAAAACAGCAAGCAAAGAAGTCAAAACGGTAAAGATAGAAGGCTGTTCTTATGTTACGTCTTATGTTATGTTATGCTACCTCAAGTGTTCCTTGGCGTATATTTCAATATTAACATGAGCAGAGTGGAATAAAGAAAGCGTTTAGCAGGATTGATATTCAAAACGGTAAGCACGCGCTGCTTTGTTTACGGTGTGTGTATCTGCGGCCGGCGGTGCCGGTTTTCCTTTTGGAATGACGGATATAGATGAATATATCTACGCATACCGTTCTCTCGGTGTGTTTAAGTGCAGCTTTTGTCCCGACGAGAGGCAACAACACAGTTGGCTTTCATTAGCGCTAGTTCGTTGGCGTCGGCTAGGTGTGTTCCAGGGTTTAGACAACAGCCAATCACAACGCTTTCAGAAAGGTGCTAAATAGTGTCTGAGACAAAGAAAAGGTTGCTGTAAAGAGACTCAGAACAACCGAGCGTGTTCCCGCCAATTTAAGGACCTTCTGCAACAACTTTCCTCCGTCAGAACATTCACCTTCAAGACTTCTTTCCTCTGCGCGTTCCAGACAAGAACCGTCTAGGGCAGGGTTTCTCAAACCCGGTCCTGGAAGGCCACTGTCCTGCAGAGTTTAGCTCCAACTCTGATCAAACACACCTACCTGTGAGTTTCTAGTGATCCTGAAGACCTTGATTAGGTGTGTTTGATCAGGGTTGGGGCTAAACTGAGCAGGACAGTGGCCTTCCAGGACCAGGTTTGAGAAACCCTGGTGTAGGGGCTCCAGAAGTTTTTCAGTACTTCATGTTCAAGGCTGTTTAAATGGAATCCAGTTCCTTTCATCCACCGCAACGCCGCCCGGCAAAATCAATGGAAGATGTCGCCTATGTTTCATCCCGTGTCCAAGCAGAACATCAATATCGGAACATAAATATATATTTGATGATTTGGCAGCCACTTCGGTTGAACTGAGGTGCTACAGAGATCTGTCACGCCACGTTAAAGGATTAGTTCACTTTTCAAAAAACTTTTGCTGATAATTTACTCACCCCCATGTCATCCAAGATGTCCATGTCTTTCTTTCTTCAGTCAAAAAGAAATTAAGGTTTTTGATGAAAACATTCCAGGATTTTTCTCCATATAATGGACTTCAGTGGGAACCAAACAGTTCAAGGTCCAAAAGAAACTTTGAGTACAAACTGCAAACTGTTCAAAGGGCTTTAAACGATTCCAGATGATGAATAAGGGTCTTATCAAGTGAAACGATCGCTTTTGACATTATTTTTTAAAACATAACAAGTTTAAAGTTTAAAGCCCTTTGAACAGTTTGCACTGAAAGTGTCTTTTGGACCTTGAATCGTTTGGTTCCCATTGAAGTCCATTATATGGAGAAAATCCTGGAATGTTTTCATCAAAAACCTTAATTTCTTTTTCGACTGAAGAAAGAAAGACATGGACATCTTGGATGATATGGGGGTGAGTAAATTATCAGCAAAAGTTTTTTTCAAAAGTGAACTACTCCTTTAAAGAGCATCAAAACCATGTTTGTTGTTTAACTATTGTTTTAAAATAGACCGAATCTGAAAGCTGAGACTTTGTTTCATATCAAAAGTAACAGCACAGAGCGTATTGCAATATATCGGAAGGGAGGTGCGCTACAAATGTTTAGTGATGTTTTGTTCACACATCAACTGAAAATGGTAAAGACTAAATGATTCTTGGGATTTGAGAATCAATATCTATTCATTCAAAATGAGAAATTGATTAAAACTGAGAGATTAATATCCAGCATGTTACCTGGTAGTTTTCCTTGCACAGCAACCTCATCAAACTCACTGGGAAACTTCATCCCATCAGATATCCGCTCGCCGTAGGTCAAAAGGTCATACAAGAGCAGACCGAATGAAAATACATCCGCCTGGACATTATAGATGACATTACCTCGGGCGACCTCGGGAGCTCGGAAACCTGTAAGTGTTTAAGATTGACATTAGAATATCTAAAAGTATTTTTATTATGGGTATTATGGGAAAGTAAGAGGGACCTGGTGTGCCTTCTGAGCTGCGGACGCCCATACTGCAGCAGTACTGTGCTATCCCGTAGTCTGTGATTTTAGCGATGAACTCAGCATCCGTCTTCAGGTTAAACAACAGAACGTTGTGTGGCTTCAGATCTCGGTAGATAATCATTGAAGAGTGCAAATATCTGTTTGGATACAAAGCGCATCACAGATAAACTTGTTTTGCACCCTGAACATTTCTTTAAAGGTGGAATACCTAAGATTTTTGCATTAAAATATCCCAAAATCACAAGGCCAGTGTTATATATTTAGTTAAGATGATAACTTACAATATTCCAAATGATTCAAACAATGTTTAAATCGCGAGAAAATTGAGATTTTAACCAAGGAAACGGGGCGTGTGAGCAGGGGTGAGCTGGGAGTCGAGAGTCAATCGAGTTATATCCGCGTTGCCTCAGTTTCCGCTCGTACTGCGTGTAGTCCTGGACAAATGTGGAAGTTGTAGTTGTGCGTTAGCGTCTATCAAGCAACAAACGACAGCTTGTTTTGCGCATTTGTTATGGAATGGAGCACAATTATTCTTTAGCGACTGCAACTGGTTCTGTCGACAAAGACAAGTCTCATAAACGCAAACGTCAACGAACGGGTCAACCAAACGAACCAGAGAAATAAAACCAGCTCAACATCGGTGTGGCACTTCCTAAATGGAGAGAACTTCGTGAAAAACTCGAACTAGAAAGAGACGCCGATCTTGCATGTGTTTTACTTGACAGGTGAGTGACGCCGTGTTCTGTATTCAAATTTCATGTCAGTAAACGATGCAAAACAATTAGTATTAAAGCTGCAAGCAGCGATGGGCGGGCCCTCGCACCTGTAGCACGTTGGAGTCTGAGGCGGCCGCGTTGCATATTCTGCAGCTCAGCCAGTGCGGCTGTGCATTTGCTACGCTGCTTCGTTAAAGGTCACTTCCTGTTGCCAGCAGGTGGCGCTATGACTGTGGGTAAATGTCGGCATGTAGATTTGTTCAGAGCGGGACTCTTGTCAAATGTGTAAAATTTCATGCAGATCTGGGCATTTACAGCCAAGTTACTACAACTTCCTTTTTCATGGCGAATCATCGACGCCACGGAAACGCCCATTGACGAAAATGCGCAGATAGCACAACTTTACATCGTCAATGCCTTTAGAAGGTACAGCAGAACTTTGAAGTCGATCCGACTAAATCCCTAGGAGGAGTTCGTTAAAGTACGGAGTGTGTAAATCGTCCCAAAATGGCCTCCAAATTCAAAATGGCGGACTTCCTGTCAAGTTTAGGGCATCTCTCCAAGAGGATTTTTTTGTGCGTCTGGTCATGATAGATGTACCACATAAATTTTGTACATGTCGGTCAAACAAGCGGCGGGGGGTGCTTCGTTAAAGGTCACTTCCTGTTGCCAGCAGGTGGCGCTATGACTGTGAGTGAATATCGGCATGTAAATTTGTTTAGGGAGGGACTCTTGTCAAATGTGTAAAATTTCGTGCAGATCTGGGCATTTACAGTCAAGTTACTACAACTTCCTGTTTCATGGCGAATCATCGACGCCACGGACACGCCCATCAACGAAAACGCGCAGATAGCACAACTTTACATCGTCAATGCCTTTAGAAGGTACAGCAGAAATTTGAAGTCGATCCGACTAAATCCCTAGGAGGAGTTCGTTAAAGTACGGAGTGTGTTAATCGTCCCAAAATGGCTGCCAAATTCAAAATGGCGGACTTCCTGTTGAGTTTAGGGTATGGGTTCTTGAGGCTTTTTTGTGCATCTGGAAATGATACACATCCCCACCAAATTTCGTGCATGTAGGTTGAACGTGGACGAGGGGCTAATTTTTTCCAATTTTCTAGGTGGCGCTAGCGAGCCATTTTGCCACGCCCATCCGCGAAACCCACAAAATACGAAATTTTTCACCAGTCCTGACATGCGTGCCAAATTTGGTGAGTTTTTGAGCATGTTGCGGCCCCGAAAATGGTGCTTACTTTGCAGAAAAAAGAAAAAATATAGCTGCGAGCAGCGATTGCGGGCCCAAGCCGGTGGCACCGCAACCCCGATGCCTTTAGTTACCCAAAGGCACCGGGATGGTGGTACCGCCGGCTTTGGCCCTTTATCGCTGCTCACAGCTATATTTATATTTAATATAAAGCCGGTGGCACCGCCACCTTGGTGCCTTTAGGGTTATTCTGTACGACGTGTAAAAACGTAACCCCCGCTTTGACTATCAAAAAGAAGTGTATTGTAGAGCTTGCATCAATGCGGACTCGATGCGCTGTGCGCTGTAACTCCATGTGGCTTTAAGCGCATCATTCTCCACTCGGGATGCGCATAAGCGTTTTGTGTCACACTGTACTGAGCCTTTCATATCATAATGCAGTGACGCAATGACAGATTATTAATTGCCTTTCTTGTTCTGTTCCATCTATTATATGTTGATAATAGATAGGACAGAGCACTAAAAACCTCAAACAAAGCACTAAAAACTTAAGCTGTTTGCTGTGTAGTCTGAGAATGAGCTGTTTGATTTGCACCCTCTTCCTCTTCACTGTCCTCCATAAAAACCAGCTATCCAGGTCCATGTTGTTCTAGAAAGTTTGTATGTTGCTGCCTCAATTAACATCTCTGCTATACATTTAAAACATGGCTATATCTAAAATAATTTATCTTTTTGATTTTTTTTATCTTGTTTTTCATGAATATTTTACAACAATACAAAGAGCAATGTGTATTTTCCAATAATATAGTTTGTAATGGCTTTTTTTGTCATAGATTATAATCATATATTTTTTGGATTTGTTATTTATCTTTATAATGAAGTTGTCTGTATTAAGTAGATTGTGTTTAACACACACAAGAGTGATTTATTAGTTCAACACATAGTTATAGAAATTCTACTTTATCTAAAAAAAACCCCTGCACTTTATACACACACACACACACACACATACATGTAAATAAAAATACCAAAAAAAACATCAAATGTGTTTTTAGTCAAAGTATTATTTTATACAGAAACAAATATTTGTAATTCAGATAAGAATGAAGTTAGTGTTTTAAAATCTTAAGGAAAACAAATATATTGAAATATAGCACATGAATTTTAAATTCATTCAACTTCAATTACAAATACAATCTTACTTTTATTTAAAGCAATCTATACATTTAAAAGATGGGGGTTATATGCCTATTTTGTCATTTAAAAATATTGTTATGCAAAATTGTTATGCAAAAAGACAAGGACTTAGAGACAAGGACTTGTAGGAAAAATCACAGCCAGCCACACACACACACATAAACACAGACAACAGCCCTCCCCTCCCCTCCCCAAACACACACACACCCACACACACACACACACACAGAGAGAGAGAGAGAGAGAGAGAGAGAGAGAGAGAGAGAGAGAGAGAGAGAATCGCAGGGGAAATAAATCCATTCAAACTACAATATCTGACTTTCTGTTGCTCAGAGCGAATGACTTTAAATTGGAAAGTTGATCGGCTTGACGAGAACAATATACGTGGTAAGTTTTGTAACTGTAGGTAAATTGAGCAAAGTTATAACACACTTTATGTGTCCTTTTTTAGTCATAAAATTCATTTCCTCGCCACGGCCAGACCGTTCGAGATATCAAAAATCCGTCCGGAATTGAGCATCCTCAATGTCTTGACTTCATGCACACCGAGTTTGGTTGTGATTGGTAAACACATGCATTGTGATTTGATGTATTTCTCCTAGGACAATTATTCAAACAACCCATAATTCATAATTCATAAATAACTTCCATTTGAACTGTCATAAAACTTAGAGCACGAAAGTTGTTTGGCCTGATGTGATCTATAATTGTACCGAGTTTCATATTAATTCATAAAAGTGTGTTTGATTTATGGACAAATGTTCGAATCCCAGTCCAGGGGGCGCTGTCGAGCCGCCCTGCCACGCCCGGTTACCAGCTTCAGCCCGGCCCTGATGGCCATGGGTTCTGACCCGTGTGCAAAGTTTCAAGAGTTTTTGAGGATGTTAAGGCCCCCGAAAATGCCAGAGAAGTCGCACACAGCAAATAAAGGGTTAAAATTAACCTGACAGGCGCCCCTCCTCTCACTCACACAGAGGGACACTGAGACACTGGCGAAATTCTGAGATTTTCTCTACATTCAAACAAACATATCTGACTTTCTGTGGGTCCTAGCTAATAAGTGTCAATTAGAAAGTTGTCCGGCTCGAGGAGTACAATATACATACTGATTTTTGTAACTGTAGATAAAACTAACAACCCCACTTTTGTCAAAAGGTGGCGCTACTGAGCCCTCACCACACCCGTTTCTGAAACGTTGCACATGTCTACTGGCTAATAAATGTGATGTGCCTGTCGAGTTTCATGCAATTTGAAGCATGCTAAGAGTCTCAAAAGCATCCTAAAAGAATGGTAAAGTTTGATGCGTTGCCACGGCAACAGTTTCAAAGATATCAAGAATCCATTTACAGGTCTTCATCTGCCATGTATTTGCATTATACAGATGAAGTTTGAAGCAAATCGAGTTAAAATTAGAGGGTGATTTCAAAGCATTTTGAAAATGACACACTTCCTGCTGCCAGTTGGTGGCGCTATAACTTTGACTCACAATAGTCACATCCATGTGATCGTCCTCTTACAGCGAACACACTGCTGAAGTTTCATTAAGATCGGTTGATGTGTGCTGAAGTTATGACACACTTTCTGTTTCACTTTTCTCGCCATAATTTTGTTTTCTCGCCACGGCCAAACCGTTCGAGATATCAAAAATCCCCTCGCAAACTTTCATCCTCAATGTCTTGACTTCACGCTGACCGAGTTTCGTCGAATTTGGATCAAAGCTCTAGGAGGAGTATTAAAAATTCCATTGCGAGTGTTTTACGAACAACCCTAAATAGCCGACTTCCTGTTGGGCTGGGGTAAAAAGTAAAAGCGCGAGGTATAGATGAAACGATGAGATCAACATGTGTACCGAGTTTCATATTATTACATGCAAGCGTGTTTGATTTATGGACCAAGTGTTCGGACCCCGTTCCAGGGGGCGCTGTCGAGCCCCCCTGCCACGCCCGGGTACCAGCTTCAGCCCGGCCCTGATGGCCGCGGGTTCTGACCCGTGTGCAAAGTTTCAAGAGTTTTCGAGC